CAGGGCTCTGACCCCGTACATACCTGGCATTCTCTTGCTTCTTGGCCTTTGTTCCTGTTATTCCCTTTGCACAGAATAGCTCCCTGAACGATTGTCACTCCGTATCCCACCAGACTTTAAATAGAGAAAAAGTCTCTCTCTCCCTCCCCGCAAATGCTAGGTCATTTCCGGTGTTCAATAAACAATAGTTGAATAAGTAAATTAAGTAAAATAATTAAATAAAGCCAACATTAACAGGGCCCTGGAGGTTGGATCAAGGTAGACATACAATTTTCTCTTTTTCAAATTTTAGTTACCCAATTAATATATACATGTATTTTATTTTATTTTTCATTAGAACAAGCTAAATTAGGAAAATTTGATTGAGCTAAAGTCCCCTTTAACAACACCCTCAATCCTGGTTCCTTCTTTTAAGGACCAAACTTATGAGTTTGGTGTGTATTTTATCAGACTTCTATTTTGTGCTTTTATATATTATTGTATGTGTTGTATTGTTTGGAGGGAAGGAGAGAGATTTTTCAAAATGAAGTGGTTTCAGACTATACCTGCCACCAGTTCCTCTAACTTAACAATATGTTTTGGGATCTGTCAACTTTGATGTGCGCGGACACAAATATTCACTCCGTGTTTCTCCGTGGGGGAGTGATTAGCATTCTGAGCGGGACAATTCTCAGTTGTTCAGGACTGCATCGGCCATCAGAGGGTGGTAATCATTCCTGGTGCCCCCTCACAATGTGTTGGTAGCACCCAACCCCCTGCCTTTAGCATTTGGCAACCAACAACGCTCTTAGCTTTTCAAACTCTTTCGGTTGACTTTTAACGTATTCTCATCCTATGAGCACTCACTGCCCTGCACTTATCTGTCGTCTCACTGTTGGTAGATATTTAGGATGGCTCCTAAATTTTATTCTCACAAACGCTCTGCAGTAGACACCTTAATTCACACTTCCTTCTGTGTATGTGTGAGTGTTTCACTAATAAGCCACCAGAAGTGGAGTCGCTGGTCATGTGTGCATGTCCAGTTACACTAGATGTGCTAAGTTCCCCTCCAACTTAAACACCTGCCAACAGTAGATGATAATATCCAGGGCCCCCAAATTCTCCAGTACTTAATGCTAATCCTTCAATTTTAGCAGATCTGGTGGATTACAAAAGTACTGCGTTGTTGTTTTAATTTGCATTTTTCTGATTAATAGTGAGACTTTTTATTTGAAATACATATTTCCTCTTCTGTGAAAGACTTTCATTTTCTCTTCTGTATGTGTACATATTTTAACTTTTACTACATATGCTTTATAATCAGAAAAAAATAATACACACTTTAAAAAATAACTTACATATTCTTCAAGGCCTACTTAGATGTTGGGTCATTCAAAAAATGGCCTTGATCTTTCTTCCTATAACCCCCGCTGGATACTTTACTCTCTCTTGGATGTAGTTTGCAAAGTACTTGTCTTACCCTCCTGAATAGATTAATGGTTTCTTGAGGCTCAGCCTGGGTTTGTGTTTCCTTTGACCTGCCTAATACAATGCCTTGCACAGATTTGAGCTTAATAGATAAAGATTTATAAAGTTAAATGATAGAAGGTAGAGAAGGTTAACTGTGGGAAAACTACCAGCTGAATAAGACTGTATTTTCAACCTTTCACTCTTTATGTACACAGTCTTGAACCATCCTTACCAAAGATGGACATATTCCTGCAAAGGGTATGTAATGTTATTTGGCTTTATAGTCACATCCCTGGAAGATATGCTAATCGGAAGTTCCTAGGAAAGGATGCTTAACTCAATTAACACAGGGAGTTTAGGTATTTGTGGAAGAGTTGTTTGGGGAATGAGGGTCCTCATTGCCCTGCAGACATCATGAAGAGTAGGTGGCTGCCTGGCAGCCTCTGTCTTAGGTTTGCCCAGGCCCAGGACTCCACGAAAACTGTGACAGTGATGCTGACTCAACCAAGTGATGTTTCTCACCCAGAAATTAACACTCCCTGAGATGTTCCAAATTAGAACACAGTGTGATCCTTCTTGCTTTATATTCAAGGATTTCTTATGTGTTTATGATATATAGCTACTGTTTCAAAGATTACCATAAAAAAGTTCTCAGTAAAAACTGCCACCAAGCTGGAATGATCAGAATTCCGTAAATGGTTTAGATAGACATCAGATCTTGTTGAAAAGAATCCCAAGGAATGTTCAAATTCTTTACATTTTAGAATTTTGTTGATCAAATTTTGTTGCTTCAAGGGACTTCCCTGGTGGTCCAGTGGTTAAGACTCTGTGCTTCCAATGCAGGGGGCGCGGGTTTGATCCCTGGTTGGGGAACTAAGATCCCACACACTGCGCGACCAAAATAAATAAATAAATAAAAAATTTTTGTTGCTTCAAATAAGTAATCTATTGGCTCAAACTAAATGGTTTGCTGAAATGTTCATTCAAAAAATAATTACAGGCAAAATGTATTTAAGAACTTGTGACCTCGTAGAGATTTCACTTATCAAAAGGAATTAGAATTTTGTCTGTAAACAAACCTGACGTTTTTGATAGCCTCACTTTTAGCTCCTCCAATTGTCCTTTTTAAAAAAAAAAAAAAAGAGGTATAATCGACATACAACATACTAGTTTTAGGTTCCAATTGTCTTTTATAGTAATTTCATTCCGTGAAGATTTGAGCATGTCTGGGAATTAGTCGAATGAATGGGTAAATAAGTCAATGGGATTTCTTATAAAATGCTTCACCTTGCCATTGCTTTCAGCTAGCAAGCACATTTCTAACACAGGATGGAGGCGTCTCTGCCCCAAAGAGGAAATGTGCTAAAGAAGCAGATATTAGCAAATGCAGATTTAGAAAACAGGTAGCTCGGAGACCTATGTAGAAACTTCCTTCTACATTTAGTCTTACGTTTAATTTTTATTATCAGGTGAAAATATCGTGCCACAGGGACATCCCAGTAGGATCCCTCCCCCCCAGAGCAGGGGTCTTCCTTGTACACCATGCACATTTCTTTAACAGTACTTAGTTCACTGACATTACCGATATTTGTGTAATTGCTTGTGTCCCCTTCCCCTCCACTGCCCTGGACTGTGGGTCCCTAGCAGCAGCTACTGTCCCCAGGACCTAGCTTTCTGTTATCTGCAGTAAGTTGAAAGTAATAAACAATTATATTTGAGCAACAAGAAAATCACGTCCCAGAAGATACATTGCAAGTTATGGCTTTGTGGATCTCAATGGCTTCATGACAACTCCTAATGTGTTGTGAGCCCTGCTGTTTGCCAAGCCTGTTCTGACCATTTCATATGTGTTAATGTGAACAGAACTTACAACTGGCCCACAAGGTCCAATGTTACTAATTCTATTTTAGAGGTGAGAAAACGGAGACTCGGATTGGTTAGGTAACTTGCCCACAGTGGTACAGCTAATAAGAGATGCCACCCAGATCGGGACTCAGGCAGATTGACTGCAGAGCCCACAATCCTCATCACCACACTGAACTCTCTCTACCAGCTCATTAAAAAGAGCGGGAAAAAACTGTCATTAGGAAAAAGGAGTGAGGTGCACAACAGTGCGCCTGGAATGCTCTTATTTCCATAGAACTGCGGTAGCGGACAGGCCTAAATGCGTCTAAATGCATAGGATACCTCTCAGGAGGAAGCACAAAAAATGGTTAACGTCGGGGTCCTCTGGGGAAAGGAATAGGGGGACTGAGGATTAAGGGAGAGAAAAAAGCTTTATGTTCATTATGTTTTCTTTTGAACTACGTAGATTTTTTTTTTCTACTGTGGATATATGTTACCTTTTCTGATGTGCTTCTGTTTTCTGGTTTTTAGTTTTATTTAAAAAAATTTTTTTTGGCTACATTGGGTCTTCATTGCTGCACATGGGCTTTCTCTAGTTGTGGCAAGTGGGGGCTTCTCTTGCTGCAGAGCATGGGTTCTAGGCGTGCGGGCTTCAGTAGTTGTGGCACCAGGCTCAGTAGTTGTGGCTCACGGGCTTAGTTGCTCCGTGGCATGTGGGATCTTCCCAGACCAGGGCTCGAACCCGTGTCCCTTGTATTGGCAGGCAGATTTTTAACCGCTGCACCACCAGGGAAGCCCTGTATTTTGTTTTTTAAAACACATACATCAGTTTGAATGTCCTTGGGACTTCCCCAGCTGTGGAGATATTTGTCAGTTTGAAACAACATTGGATGGGGCTTGCATCTCAGTATAAAACATCTGAATTCCTTGTGCCCAACTTCATTTCCCTCATGACAACGGACTCTGGTATAACAGCTCAGTGGTTTTCTACACTGCAAAAAGTGGTACCACACTTTCGAAAGAGAGTGTGAGAGAGAGACCAAAAGAAAGAGAGAAAATTGGCCAAAATCTATTCTTATGGTTATTTTTGACTTGGATTTTTAAAAAACTTTCTGTCTACAAAGTAAAGTGTGTGTTTGTTTGCTAGGACTGCAACAATGAAGTACCACGAAACGGGTGGCTTAAACAGCGGAAACTGATTATCTCACAGTTCTGGAGGCTAGATGTCCGAAATCAAGGTGTCAGTAGGGTGGGTTCCTTTGGAGGGCTGTGAAGGAGGATCTGCTCCAGCCCGCCCTCCTTGACTTGCAGATGGCCTTCTTCATGTTCACATGGCATTCTCCCTGTGTGCAAGTGTGTCTCCAGAAGTCCCCTTTTCACAAGAGGACACCAGTCCTATTGAATTAGGGCCCACCTTAATAACCTCATTATAACTCACTGAAGACCCTATCTCCAAATAAGGCCACATTCTGAGGTACTGGGGCTTAGCACCTCAACAGGATACAATTCAACCCATAACACTGCGATTAGCCAACTCTCTCCTTTCCCCTTCAGCCTCATCCAGCAATTTCCTTTTCTTGATGTTTTGGCTCAGAGTTTGGTCTCGGGCCTCCCAGAGTGGAGAATATTGATGAGAGGAAAACCCAGTGCAGGAAGAGTCCCCCTGTGGTTCACCCTGAGTGAAAGCGCTGCTCTCTTCTCCGCAGGTGGTACCATGGTAACCTCACCCGACATGCAGCCGAGGCTCTTCTCCTCTCCAATGGATGCGACGGGAGCTACCTTCTGCGGAACAGCAATGAAAGGACAGGGCTGTACTCTCTCTCTGTGAGGTAGGATGCCTAAGAACTCTATAAATTCAGTGGGGTCCCACCTCTTATTTATAGGGGCACTGACTCCATGGTCACACTCAGATTGCCAGAGAATCGAATTCTCTTGATTCCTGCTAGACCAGCAGGTCTGAGGACGCCAAGCTCTGAGTGGTGAGCCTGCAAAAAGCATTCTTGCCCCTTCCATTGGCGGAGAAAAAATGTTAGAGCTGAAGGAGATTTTATGAATTGTTTAACCCAGAACTCTTGCTTGACTGATGAAGAAACTGAAACCTGAAGTGGTAAAGTGTCTTCCACCCAATAAATCAGTGATAGAAACAGCACCAGAATCACATCCCTGAAACCTGGCCTGGTGCCCCTTTCACTATTCCTTGCTTCCTCTGGAAAATCAGAATGACTTGTGGCTGTGCAGTTTTCATGATCACAAACTCAAGCAGGCAGTATGCAACTTTTAGTTTTTTTCTATAAATGGACTGACCTTCTTTCTTGAATTTCCATTTCACCTATTAAGAAAGTTAATCTAGGGCTTCCCTGGTGGCACAGCGGTTGAGAGTCTGCCTGCCGATGCAGGGGACACGGGTTCGTGCCCCGGTCCGGGAAGATCCCGCATGCCGCGGAGCAGCTGGGCCCGTGAGCCATGGCCGCTGAGCCTGGACGTCCGGAGCCTGTGCTCCACAACGGGAGAGGCCACAACAGTGAGAGGCCCGCGTACCGCAAAAAAAAAAAAAAAAGAAAGTTAATCTAGTCCCCACCAGGTACGCCCTGCTCAAAACAGTGATTGTCCAGTCCTTCCAGGGTTTCTCTCCCATCCTGGTTGGCCTCCCTTTCAGAGAAGGTGACCTAGTCACGTGATAATCAGCTGGAGTCATCGGTTATCTGTCAGCATCTGTCACCTTGGCGTCCACTGACATGTAGCAAGTCTTTCTGGGTTCACAGGGAGTTGCCCCTGGGTCAGAATGGTGATGTGAGGACTCCATGTAATTGCTCTCGGCCACCCAGCCAATAACCTCAAACCATTATTGTTTTATTTTATTTACAAATTTTCTAAAAAACATTTTTGGGAAAAATATTCACCAAAAATAGAATTCTGCTTTGGGGGAAACAGGAATTGTGCTTTCTCAAATCAACAGCAAATGTTAAAATTACATTAAAGTGGTTAGATTGTTGATCCTTTATTGCATGGATCTCCCCCAGATCTCAACCAAATCTGTGGAATTGTTGGCTAAAAGAATGTTAACTTTTCACTTTTGTATGTCTCGCCTGAACAATTATAAGCTCCTTACAAAGAGATGATATATATATTACATCTATATACAAAGTTAAAATATAAAATATTAATTTCCATTACAAGCACTTGGAAATGCTTTAAAAAATAATAACCACCAGCAAAAGTAAGAGAAATCACAGACCAGATCAGGAGAATGATTGTTTTTATTCATTTGGTCATTCGCTTCCTTAATAATAAATATTTCAAAGCATCCGCTCTGTGCCTACCACTTTGATAAGTGCTGTAGAAGATTCAAAGACCTTGACATCAGGAAGTATAGCCTCACAGGGGCAATAAGACCATATCCAAATACCTTACTACAAAGTAGAGCGCTGTAAATGCCATGAAAGAAAACAAGGTAAGTGCTTGGGTTGTTGAGAAGAGAAAAGGCAAGTAACTCAAGCCGGAAGTAGCAAGCAATATTTGATAGAGTAAGTGGCATTTGAACTGAAACTTGATCAGGAACAAAGTGGAAGAAGTCATAGGTGAAGGGAGCTGTACGAGCTAAGGGACAAAGGCAGAAACTCCTAGGAGAACAGTAGGCGTGGCGGCACTGCAGCAGTTCCCAAGGTGTGGTCCCCAGACCGGTAGCATCACCAGAGAGCAGGTTAGGAATACAGATCTCAGACCCCACCCCAGACCTACTGAATCAGGAACTCGGGGGGTACGGTCCAGAAACCTGGGCGCTGCAGGTGATTCTGATTTCTGATGCTTGCTAAAGTTGCAGCATGCCCTGCAAGAGAGGAATAGTGGAAGTGAGGCTTGAAAGATAGGATTGGGTCAAATCAAGTATATATATATAAATTTTTAAAAATTTAATTCTCTGCCTTATTCCAAAAATGAAGTGGAGAATGACAATGTACGAAATCTGATATTTTATTCAGCAGGCAGTGGACTAGGCATGGGAGGCAAAGGGCTGGGCTCACATAACTGATTAAGTGACAGAAGCAGAATTTGGATTGACTCCCAAACAAGTAAGGGAGGAGGGCCAGGCACAGAGAAGAATACGGGGAGGGAGTGACTTGCCATTTCTATCATCTCTCTTCCTGCCCTTCTTAAACTCATGCCCCTTAAGAGGTTAATGTTCAAAGACTCATTCGGCAAGTCAGAGAATTCACAGGGAGCACCGAATCCACAGGGAGCACCGGCTCTTGTCTTCCATTAGAATGAAAAATTGAGAGCACGCTCTGCCCGAAGAAACCAGCGCTGTTCTTTAAGTGCCAGTGGTTTCAGTGATGGTATCATAACTCTCAGCTTTTAGAAGGGTTTAACGGTAATGCTAATGCCTAAGGTTACATCCCCTTCAAAAAAGATACTCGTTTCTTAAATAACGTTAAACATTTTTTTCCCTTTTAGAGCCAAAGACTCCGTCAAACACTTTCACGTTGAATATACTGGTTATTCATTTAAATTTGGCTTTAATGAATTCTCATCTTTGAAAGATTTTGTCAAGCATTTTGCAAATCAGCCTTTGATTGGAAGTGAGACAGGTAAGCTATGAACAGATACTTGACCTGTGAGATATCGTTTCAGGATGGAGGCGAGACAAAGTGGATTTCAATTAAATAGTTGTCACTTCTATTGAATTATGTGCATACTATATGCAACTGGATATGTTTAGAAACATTTTTTCCAATTACAGTGCCATATGCTACATTAAAAAATATATATATATATATTTCAGTATATAATATACTTCAGTATATTATATACTTCAGTATATTATATATTATATACAGTATATATATATTCAGTATATTATATACTTCAGTATATTATATTTCAGTATATATATACTTCAGTGTATATATATATATATATATATATATATATATGTCAGTATGTTAGTATTATTTTTAGGAGAAAACAATGTGCCTTGTGCAAAATAGGTATTTTTCTCAGAATGTGTTATTTAATGGATTGATTAAAAGCACACATTTCTTTAAAATGACCTATTTGTTTTATAATGATATATACAGTAAACAAAGAAAGAACAAAGGAAAGAACAACTTTTTGATTCCTCAGAAGTTTAGGTATGAGAAGTTTGCATACTGGGGAGACCCAAAAATGATCATTTTGAGCAGTTTTTGAGCATTTTAAAATGAAATGCAATTTCTCAAAGATCATTGGATATTAAAAATACTGACTAGAAATTACTCTCCTGAACAATTTCTTAATTTCATCATAAAATTCTGTTTCTCTTGTCTTGGTTTCTGATAAGTTTTTACATGGCACTTAAGTATGGCTGGAAATAGTTTAAAATTTCCTTTCTGGGTGGTTAGAGTCAAACCAGAAAATTCAAGTTAAAAAACAAACACACTCGCTTGGTATTTAAATTATCTAACTCATTTGTCTATACTATTTAAATAAAGTAAAAGATTTCCTCTGTATTTGTGACATAGAATCACAATTTTATATGTCCTAAATGTTGATGATTCTCAGTTAATCAAAAGTTGGACAGTTCCAAGAACCAAGCACAAGAGGAATCCAAGCCTTAATAGCAGAGTCAGTTGCTGCGAATTTGTACACACTCATTTTCATGGTAAACTTGGTTAGTGGGCTTTTTGTTGATCACACTGGGAGAGATGCCACCAGTGCCTTTTCCTTTTCTGCTATTTCTGTGGCCTGAATAGACCCTGATATGACTCACACAGAGTCAAGGAAAGACAAAAAGCACAGTGGAAACCACAAAACAGTTGACTTACTTTATACTGACCATACAAGGTCTTTGATAGATTATTTCAAACCATAAAATTGAAGCAATCATCTTTTTTTTTCTGGTGGAAATTCTCCTAATCAACCCTGAAAATTACTTTATCATTTAACCAGCAGTAATTCTCATAAACAAAGGGCAAGTGGTAATGATTTTATTTCCTTTGCTACTTTGGTCTTGGCAAGCATTTCAATTTCAAATTCCTTCCCTTCAGACTTATTTCTTACTTGCGTCCCAATCTACACTCATTTTCGTTCAATTCTTGGTCACTGGCAATGGAGAGGAGATGTTGAAGCCAAGGACTCTGTTTTGTCTACTTCAATTTTTGTCCTCTGTGTCTCCCAGGTCCTGGTACAGTGCGTGGTGCTTTGGGTGAGTGAATGAATAAATGAATGAATGATGACTGTAAGTTGCAACTCTTTGTATCCTTCAAAGCCATTACCATTGTAACTTTCCAGCCTCCTCTTCTCTTGCCAAACAAAATCAGCTCCCTTCTTTTAAACTCTCCCTCTAGACTCTAGTTTCAGTACCTTTGGTCATTCTCCATACTCCTTTCCAGACTTTCTCCAAGTTAGGAAAAAGTACATATTCTGCCTATTAGCAGGTTTCAAACCCCCCCCTTTTTTTAAGTTTTTTTGTTTTATTTTAAATTCTTTTTAATTGAAGCATAGTTGAAGTACAATACTATATGTTACAGGTGTACAATCTAGTGATTCACAATTTAAAAAATTTTTACTCCACTTATAGTCATTATAAAATATTGGCTATATTCCCTGTGCTATAGAATATATTCATGTAGCTTCTTTTAAGCACAATAGTTTGTACCTCTTAACCCCCTACCCCTATACTGTCCCTCCCCTCTTCCCTCACCCCACTGGTAACTGTTAGTTTGTTCTCTATGTCTGTGAGTCTGCTACTTTTTTATTATATTCACTAGTTTGTTGTATTTTTTAGATTCCACATATAAGTGATATACAGTATTTCTCTTTCTCTGTCTGACTTATTTCACTTAGTATAATGCCCTCCAAATCCATCCATGTTGCTGCAAATGGCAAAATTTCATTTTTTTATGGCTGAGTAGTATTTCATTGTGTGTGTATATGTATATGCCACATGTTTGAGATCAAAGTGAATGCAGTACTTTCCGGTTGAGCTTTTCTGGCACTGATCCAATCACTAGGTGAAAGGATCACCTAAGACTGCACCAAAGTAAAGGCTCCTCAGATTACATTTGGGTCAATATTAAGCTTCCCAGCAAATAGATTAATCTGACTAAAGAAGGTTTGTGATTAATGCAATATGAATTATAAAGATTTGTAATCCAGACACCTATGGGAGTTTTCTTCAAAGTGACAGAGGGCGGGTGTTGGTGGTGTGATGAACTGGGAGATTGGGATTCACATATATACACTAGTATGTATAAAATGGATGACTAATAAGAACCTGCTGTACAGAAGAATGAATACAATAAAATTCAAAACTTAAAAAAAAAAGCTGAAACTTGCTGTAGCCCTATCATCACTATAATTGTTATTTTATTTATTGCAAACTTAGGAAACTGAGATTTTTGCTCTCCATTGCCTCTCCTCTGTTCTATTCATTACCCAGTTGGGAATTTGTTGCTATTTAAACCCCTGCTACAGACCCTGGGTGCCGATAGATATGTACTTGACAAACTGGCTTCCAGCTCTTGAGTTAGATCCCAGTAACTCTGAAATATTCCTCTTATCTGGCCCTGCCAGCTGAAGGCAAAGCCACCAAAGTTGGGAACAAGGGGCAAAACCCATGACATAGGAGCTTCCGTTATGCCCCCTGAGAGTAATAGGCCTCAGGAAACAAGATAACCTGCTGAAGCTGTGATGGCTTTTAAGCCCAGATGGTCCTTGGAAGTCATGGAGTCAGCAGTGTGACCTATGAATAACAGTGAATGGAAACTGGGATTCCATCTTCTAGAAACAGATCTCTTCTTGTTCATTTAAGAATTGGTTCCTGGGGACTTCCCTGGTGGCACAGTGGTTAAGAATCCACTTGCCAATGCAGGGGACACGGGTTGGATCCTTGGTCCAGGAAGATCCCACGTGCCGCGGAGCAACTAAGCCCTTGCACCACAACTGCTGAGCCTGCGCTCTAGAGCCCACGAGCCACAACTACTGAAGCCTGTGTGCCTAGAGCCCGTGTTCCGCAACAAGAAAAGCCACCGCAATGAGAAGCTGGTGCACAGCAATGAAGACCCAACGCAGCAAGAAAGAAAGAAAGGAAGGAAGGAAGGAAGGAAAAAGAAAGAAAGAAAAAAGAAAGAAAGAATTGAGGAAAAGGGGAACCCTCCTACACTGTTGGTGGGAATATAAACTGGTACGGCCACTATGGAAAACAGTATGGAGATTCCTTAAAAAACTAACATAGAACTACCAAATGATCCAGCAGTCCTACTCCTAGGCATATAGCCAGAAAAAACTATAATTCAAAAAGATACGTGCACTTCTACATTCATAGCAGCACTAGTCACAACAACCAAGACATGGAAACAGCCTAAATATCCATCAACAGACGAATGGATAAAGAAGATGTGGTCCATATATACAATGGAATACTACTCAGACATAAAAAAGAATGAAATAATGCCATTTTGCAGCAACATGGTTGGACCTAGAGATTATCATACTAAGTGAAGTAAGTCAGAAAGAGAAAGACCAATACCATATGATATCACTTATGTGTGGAATTGAAAATATGGCATAAATGAACCTATCTATGAAATAGAAACAGACTCATAGACATAGAGAAATGACTTGTGGTTGCCAAGAGGAAGGGAGAGGGATGGACTGGGAGTTTGGGGTTGATAGATACAAACTATTACATTTAGAGTGGATAAACAACAAGGTCCTACAGTATAGCACGGGGAACTATATCCAATCTCCTGGGATAAACCATAATGGAAAAGAATATTTTAAAAAAGAGTGTGTATATATACGTATGGCTGAATCACTTTGCTGTGCAACAAAAAGTAACACAACTTTGTAAATCAACTGTACTTCAATTAAAAATTTAAAAATTTAAAAAATTTAAAAAGAATTGGCTTCCAGTGATCAGGAGACCTCCAGGCTGATGATTCCTTCTTCACCATCAGATGAAGTGTAAATTCTTATTAAAAATTTTGGTCGGTTAAGGATCACCAGGGGAAGCATTTTTCTGCACGATGGATGAGGCCCTGCCAGGGTTCTGACCTCCAGATCCCCAGAATGGGAAGGACTAGAAATGGGTATTTCAGGCCACTCTGCAGACCAGCCCAGACCCACTCAGGCCAGCCTCACCCTCCAGGGCCTGGGGAGTGAGTTTATTTAAGAGAGACTTTCTCACACTCATTCACTGGCAGGAATGGCATCACCTTTGAGGGCAGCAGGGAAGATGTCCAAATCAACAACCGTACACTTTTGCCTTACAATTTTATATCTATTTAATGTCTTCAGTAGAGTGAAACCAGAATTCTTGGTCCTGGGTCATAAGAAAATATTTGCTCTCAGGATAGGTAAAAGTGTTAACCTAAAGGGATGAATACTCTTCTAAGATTTCTTTTTCCTATTTTATTCCTATTATTTAAACTCCCAGGATTTCTGCCTCCTAAGCTAAAGAATGAAGATTCTGTAAGCAAGGTCTAACCCTCCTGACAACTTTAAGATTCTATTATTATAATTTTCCCTTTCCCTTGTTGTAATCTACATTTAATCTCTCTAATCTGCATTAAAGTTTCCATTCACTCTAATTTCTCCTTATGAACAC